TAGGGCTTGGGGAGAACAACTCACACACGGAAAACCCAGAGTTCAGCTGTTCCTACTGCACTGTTTCCCTAGAATTAGGAAAGTTCACTTCCCCATTGATGGTTGCACTTCCTAACAACTTCAGTGTCAGAACTTCCCTTTACTGATGACATGAAAATTATTTTTCTAGAGGGAGATGAGCTGATGATATTTCTTCCTTATAACTGCCCCTTAGAGCCCCATTCTACATGGTGTTTTTCAAAGGCCTGGCCAGGTGAGTGAGTTTGTTTTTCTGTTCATTAATAGTGAAAGTTGTAAGCAGCTGGTGAGTGAATCCAGATTTTCTGTAATGAAATGATTAGAGAATACTCTGCTTAAAATTCTACTTTAGAGCCACACTGTGTCATAAGCAAGTACAAGAGATGCTTATAGACATAACACATCAGTGTAATGATTTGTAAAAGAACTTAGATTGCACCTACTATGACCTCTGACTATAGTATGTTTGACAGTAGAAGGTGGGACTACTGCAGAGGACAGGGTCTAGCAGAAGTGTGGAGAGAGAGACAGGAAAGGCTACAGAGTGAGGACAATCAATGGATGTTATATATTGAATGAAAAAAAAGTCATGAATCCCTTCAGTTTTACAATGAATGTACACTAGTACATATGTAAAAAGTGAGCCAAGTGGAATATTTTAGCAATCATATCTGACTATAGATTTTCCTATATGTTCTCTAGTCTTTCTGAGAACATAGTTACAGCTAGTAATGCCCAATGTCTTAGTTTTCCATTCTTGTCACAATAGCCTGAAATAACTTAGAGGGTGAAAATCAAAAAACAAACAGATATTTGTTTGTAGGTGTACATTGATAATAATAAATTGCATATTAATGATACTGCTTTGTTTTGTCATTTTACTATATTCCTCAAGTTAACTGACCATGCATTTATGTATATGAAACTTCAGACAGAAATATACAATAAATATTAACTGATTTATAATTATCAGTAAATTTTTGTTTGGTAAAGTTTGCATATACTTTGGCATTCTGAGAAATGTTTCAGCTTATATCCTACTAAAACATAAATAGTCTCAAAAATTGTATAAATAAGTTCTAATTTTTTATGTATTTTTTATTCTATCACAGTGATTCCTGGGTATCAAAAATTTGTCTAGAAATCTCACCTCACTTATTTATTAAATCCTTATAAAGTTATCCTTACAAAAATGTAAACTGGAAAAATTTCAGTTGGATATACAGTGTTTTAAATAAAATAAGTTAATTTTAATATTTCAAGTCTTCTAAATTGAACTCTGTAACATTGGGACTGATACAATATTGAATAAACTTTTAATTAGCAGTGAGGAAGTAATTTCAATTATTAAACAGTATAAAATTATTTAAAGACAAAATCTCCAAGGTTTCTTCTAATCGTTAGAAAATACAATTGCTCATTAAAATACACATTCATAAAAATTCCAAGTAAATTTAAGTTTTGCTGCTGAATGTCTTGAGTCCATTTTTATACTGCTGGAATATCACTCACTAATGTATACAGGAGATTACATGGAAAGTGAAGGCAGGCATGGTGGCACACGGCTATGATCTCCACACTTTGAAGGCGAAGGTGCGAGCATCATGAGTTTGATTAAAGCCATTCTGAACTACAGGTCGAGACAGCACCCCACAAACACACACAAATGCAACAAAATTACTGTGGAAATCAACAAATGTACAATTATGAAATTGTTTATGTCATTTCATAACTGGCCACAGACTGTGAACAGCAGGAGAACAAGTGATGGAAGCAGAATTTCTGTTTGTAACCATTACAGAATTTTCAATCTGCTTTGCATAATGCACATTAAAAGTCTGCACTGATGCACTAGGCAGGACTCTACTGACCTGATCAAGTCACACAGAAAACAAAGGACATGCTCCATATTCATTAAAGTTTATTATTTCATAAAAATATTTGATATAACTCTCAGTTTTTCACTCAAATGCTGTACATAGATTCATGACAGCAGCCCCAGCACATCGTGAGCTATTGATCTATTGTTAGTCCTCCTAGCCATTTCAAACTCTCTCTCTCTCTCTCTCTCTC